CCTGACGTGAACTCTTTTGAAGGCAACATCTGATCTGACCTGAATTGATGGGAGACTATTTATAGTCCTTATTTATTACAGAGTGTGAAAATTCATACATTTTGCTACATATATGTTAATGTGTAAAATTACTGGGTGTGACAAGATCACGATAGGGACATTAAATACCATACAGAATATGCAGAAATTACGTTTCTAAAGTTTGGGGGAAAATCTGAAATCAAAACATATTTGGTCCCAGGTTTTGGGTAAGGGATTGTGGACCTGTATTTATCTGCAATGTATCATCTCTTCAGGAGGGCACTACTTCATCCCAGTCAGTGTTGTTTGCCCTGGGCCTAGGGTTGTGCCTGATACAAAATAAATACTCTCAAAACTCAACAATAAGAAAACACCCAAATTAAAAAGGGGCGAAAGACTCGAACAGATATCTCACCAAAGAAGACATACAGATGGCAAATAAACATATGAAAAGATGCTCAGTGTCATATGCCATTAAGAAACGACAAATCAAAGCAACAGTGAGATGTTACAACACACCCATTAGCATGGCTAACACCTAAAACACCAACCTAACGCTGGTGCGGATGTGGTGCAGCAGAACTCTCATTGCTGGCGGGAATGCAAACTGATGCGGCCACACTGGAAAACAAGTTGTCAGCTTCTAACAAAAGGTGTCCACGCAAAAGACTCGGGGCAGAGCAGGGGCCGCAGGGCTCGTCCGAGGCACAGGTGTTCAAGGGACAGGCTGCCGCTGCGGAGGAGCATAAGCCACAGGGCCCACCCAGACTCTCCTCTCCTGTGAGGGAGGGGAACACACAAAAGTTAACTGAAAATGGGTCACAGATCCAAATGTAGAAGCTAAAACTATAAAACTTCCAGAACAAAACGGTTAGGAAAAGATTCTTAGATAGGGCATAAAAAAGCACAAATCATAAAAGAAGAAACTGATTAAAAAATGTGTCATCAAAATTAAATTTTTTTGCTACTTGAAAGACCCAGTTAAGAAAATGGAAAGATAAGCCACAGACTGGGAGAAAATATCTGCTAGATGAATATCTGATAAAGGACCTGTGTCTTTTATACAAAAAATCCTTACAATTCAGCAACAAGAGAATAACATAATTTTCTTAAACGGGCAAAGAATTTGAACAGACCGCTTTACCAAAGAAAATATAAACATGGTAAGATACTCAATATCATTAGTCATTAGGGAAATGCAATTAAAATCACAATGGGCTATCATTACTCTCCGACCAGAACACTACAACAGATAAAAACTAATTAATAATAAAATGACATCAGAGACTTCAAGACGTCAGCACAGGTAGACATGGCTCACCTCCTCGCACAACCACATCAGCATTAGAACTAAGCTGCAGAACATCCGTTATTCAGAACTGCCAGACATAGAGTGAACAGAAGTTCTACAACTACGGAATGAGAGCAGAAACCACACTGAGACTGGTAGGAGGGGCAGGGACACAGAACGGGCTGGTGCCGTACCCACGTGTGGCGGTTAGAAATTGGGAAGGTGTATGGAGAGTGAGGGGGCCCAGACCCACGGCAGGGCCCCCAGCCAGGGCTCCAGTGCCTTGAAGGTAAGTGCCCATAACTTCTGGCTATGAAAACCAGAGGGAACTGGGGCTGCGAAGGACAAACTCCTCGAGTCCCAGCCAGTTCCTGTTAAAGGGCCCACGCACAGACTGACTTGGACTGACTCCCTGAGCCCCAGCATGGGAGCAGACTGACAAGCACCGGAGGCATACGGGGAAGAACCGAAGTGTCCGGTGTCAGGGCAAGAGCTGGGGGGCAGCTTTCTCCCAGAGAGAAGTGCTGGCAGACGCCATTTCCCCTTTCCTGGGCCCTTGCCCAGCGGAGTGGCCAGGTGGGTGCCATATCTGAGACTCTATCAACTCGGCTCACACTGTTTGCCCCACCCTGGTGATTCCCCGAGGCCCTGCCCCACCCAACCTTTGGACCCACCCAACATGTTTCCAGAGGCTTTTCCATACAAATGGCTTCTCTTGGTTCATGCGTCAGATTTTCCTAAATTCTCTCAAACATGTAGCATGTGTCCTCAATGTGCCCTGTGCCTATGGGTAGGTGGCCCCAGGCCTGGCACTAGCAGTGGATGGCCTTGGTTCACAGCTTGGACTCACCTGGGCACCTCCAAACCCAGCACAAGTAGCAGCCAACTGCAGATAACTTTGCACCTTACGCGGGGTGGCCCCAGTCATAACACAGGTAGTGGCTGATCTTAGCCTGCACCTTCTGGGAGGCCCCAGTGCCTGACGCCTAGTGGACAGCTACAGACCATGTTGAAGCACTACCACCCTACCACCTCCACAAGTGACTCACTCACAAGGCAGACTCAGTGGGCACCAGAGCCCTGCTGAAGTAAGTCCTGCGCTGTGGACTGGGCCCCTGAACAGCCAATCCTCTACAGTGGTCAGAGGTTGGTGGTCAGTGGTCACAGCCAGTCCTTGCAGCTGATCAGCCTGGGTAAATCTCTTCCATTGACCTGTCAACAGCAATCATGGCTCAGCTACAAAAGGAGAGTGTACACAGCCTACATGGTGGGCACACCTCAAGTATCCAGCTTAGGTACGGCCACTGGACTCTACAGGACACTTACTACATTGGGCCACTCTTCCAAGCCAGCAAGTCATAGAAACTCTATCTAATACACAGAAACAAAAACAGGGAGGAGGCCAAAATGAGGAGACAAAGAGCATGTCCCAGATGAAAGAACATAACAAAACTCCAGAAAAAGAACCAAACTAAATGGAGACAGACAGTCTACTAGATCAGAGTTCAAAACAATCTACTAGATGCTTAGTTGAAAATACTGGTTATAAGGATGCTCAATAAACTTAGATGAACTTAGCGAAAACTTCAACCACATACAAAAAGGACATGGAAACCATAAAGAAGAACCAATCAGAAATAAAAACTGTAATAACAGAAAAGAAGTTACAGATGAAGCAGAGGATCAATTGAGGGATTTGGAGGACAGGAACCAAAAACCACACAATCAGAACAGAAAAAGAAAAAAGAACACAAGATAAAATGACAGTGCAACCACCTCTGGCACAACTTCAAGCACACCAATATTCACATCGTAGTGGTGCCAGAAAGAGAAGAGAAAGAGCAAGATATTGAAAATCTATTTGGAAAACTAATGACAAAAAAAAAAACAACAAAAAACAACCTCTGTAATCTGTTAAAAGAAATGGACACACAGGTCCAGGAATCCCAGGAATCCCAGGAATCCCAAACAAGATAAACTCAAAGAGGGCCACACCGAGACATACCATAATTAAAGACAAGAGAATCTTAAAAGCAGCAGAGAAAAGCAGTTAGTTACCTACAAGGGAGTTCCAATAAGACTGTCTGCTAGGATAGAAGGGACTGGCAAGAAATATTCAAAGTGATGAAAAGCAAGGAGGTACAACCAAGATTATTCTACCCAGTAAAACTATCATTTAGAATCAAAGGAGAGATAAAGAGCTCCCCAGACAAGAAAATGTTATGTAGGAATTCAGCATCACCAAACCAATATACATAAAATGTTAAAGGGTCTTCTTTAAGAAGAAGAATATCAAAAATATGAACAATAACATAGCAATGAATGCATATCTATCAATAATTGAATCTCAAAAACAAAATTACCAAGCAATTAGTAGAAACAAATATAGAGAATATTTTGACAGTTGCCATATGGGAAAGGAGGTCTGAGGGATGGGTGAAAAAGGTGAGGGGATTATGAAGTAAAAATTCATAGTTACAGAATAGTCATGGGGATGTAAAGTACAGCATAGGGAACACAGTAGCCAAAGAACATACATGCGTGGCCCATGAGAGAGTGGGGGTGGAGGGTAGCAAAGGGAAAAAAACCAGGACAATGGTAAGAGCATAAGCAATAAAATATAATTAGAAGCATGTAAAGAAAATAAATAAACTGCCATCAAGTACTAGGAAAGACGCAAAGCAACTGAAACTTTCGTAATTGCTGGTGGAAATGCAAAATGCTTCAGACACTTTGGAAAAGTTTGTCAGATCTTACACAATTAGACATACACTTGTTGTACAGCTCAGTAATTCTAATCCTAGGTTTTTATCCCAGAGAGAGGAAAACAAATATTCAAACAAAAATCTATACCACAATGTATGTATCAGCCTTACTCATAATCTCCATAACTGGAAACCCGTAACTTTATAACCAAAAACGCCCAGCATCCAAGGAATGGAATGAACAATTCACAGTCTACCCAAATAATGAAGTATTACTCAGCAATAAAAACGAACAGAACTCATATGGGAACTAGACTTACCGGGGTCACCACTTGGTAAGATATATTGAACAATATAAATATCTAATCACTATGTTGTACAGCTGATACTAATATAACATTGTATGTCAACTGTCACTGACAAAAAAATTTAAATGTACATACTGTGTAATTCTATTTCCATGACATTCACACATATACACAAAAAGAAAATATCTCTTGATGAATCTCTGCATTAAAGAACCTAGCACATTAGAAAATACTCAAATAATGCAGGGTGGACATATAGAGGGTGAATTATTGCAGGGAGAGTAGAATGCAAGGCGGTTGATGCTAAAGCAAAGAGGCACCTGGGATTCCAAACCCATGAACAGAACAGAAAAAGTGAGGGGAAAAGCGTGGTCCGAACTACCTCCACTGATTCCAGCAGCTTAAAAATGTAGACCCTGCAAAGGGCTATAATATGAATGAACAGATGTAGCGTTTCTCTGGCCTCAAGAAAGGCATGACGCGCCCCACCCTTCTTCAAAAATCTATCACCCCGCGTGCGAGGCTGAGCGAGTGGAGCTGGAAGAGAGGGTGTTCCGTGCACAGGAGCGGAGCGAGAGACAGAGGCGGGCTCTAGCTTAGGGCAGCGGGGTGCCAGGGGAGACCGGAGGCATCGCCGCAGCCCGTCCCCACCCGCTTCCACTCGGCCTCACTTACCCAGGCCTGCCGTTCCAACTGAGAGTACAAATTGGAGCCCTTGAGTTTTTGGACTATCTGAGCAATAATGAGAGACAGATCCGACTCCTCCTGCAACATTTCCCCTGCCCTAGCCCGCCAAGCGGCGGGGACAGGCCGCCCGGCGCCGAGAGAACGACTACGGGGTCCCACGTAGGGCTACAGACACTTCTCCCGGACTCTATTATGCTGGGACTCCTTCAGTGGGCGTTACCAGGCAACTGCGGGCTGTGTGTCCGTTCCTCTCTGGTCCCCCCCGCGCCTGACGGTCCCAGCATCTGCGTTCCGACAGCGGAAAATGACCTGAGAGGGAGTAGATTTTCGTTGCATTGTTTCTGCTTAGTCTGTGGTTGAAAGGCAAGAAGAGGAGCTCTTTCCTCCAGAGCAACACCACCTCCAATGCAGAAGGGGAACTCAGAGAGATGTTTGTTTTTGTGTTGTATTATATAGGATCCGTCATCTTCCACTTTTCAATCTCTGCAGAAATAGGGCTGTGGATACAATGGCACAGCCAATTATTTGCAAAAATAATGAGGCTCTGACACTAGCTGTGTGAACTTGGCTGAGGCACTTAAACTTCAGAACTCAGTTTCTGTCTCTGTAAAATAATGCCCAATTCACAAAATGTGGTGACGATTAGCTAAGGTAACAAATATAAAGATGCCTAGCACTGTACTTAACACTCCATTTGGTTTGCATTTCTCCTGTTTCTACTCTCTGTGGGTTTGTGCCAGGAATAAACAAACAAGGTCTTCTCATCTAACAATTTAACCAAGTTGTTAGACAAAGTACTTATTTTTCTGGGAAGCATTGGCAATTCAAGGATGACTAAGACAGTGTATCAGTCTTCAAGGAATGTACCATTTAGATTCCTCTTCTTCCATGTATTTATTCAGTCACTTACTCAGAATTCATTCAGCTTTCAATTTATCGAGCATTCACATACAGGAAACTGTGGACACACAAAGGTGAATGAAACATGGCCCTTCCGTTCAAGGAAACATTAAAGATTTTTAGGAGAACTGGAAGTAATGGATTTAACTGATTGAATGACATTCCCAAAGACAACTAGAAAAAGGCCTATGGAATAATACACATGAGAATAACCATGCTAAAATGATCAAGAATTTATTTCAATTGTGTTTATACATATATTTTAAGCAAAGCCAAGGTAGGATTCCAAAAGAACAGACCAAGATTGCTATAAAAACTCAAGCCTAACTACCTTAAACTTGAATGCGCTTAGGAGTCACAAGATAGTTTCTAGTTCAATAGGCCTATAGTGAGAATCTGCTAATTCGAATCTCTGGAAACTCCTAGGAGACTGTGACCCTGTTGTTCCAAGGTCTACATTCTCAATAGCAAAGGACTAGAGCAGGTAAGCAATAGACACTCAAAGGGACTGGATCTCTGGCACCTATACCAACAACCTGACATTCATAACTGTAGTGGACCATCCTGCGTGGCGTGGGCCCAGCCTCCAGTGGCAAACATTTACTGCAAAAAAACTTCCTGAAAACCATCCTAAACCTTCTAAGGACCAGTGTGACTGGTTCAACCACTTGTGCCTTTTCATTTGCAAATATCCCTCTTCTGTGATGTGATTACCCAGTAAGACAATAACAGCTCATTGAAGCAAGGGTGGAGGCTTTTGCTCCCCTTGAGAGAAAAGCCACTAGCCCCTTTCCTTCCACAGGATTTGGTAGTCCGAGTGAATTTCTTTTGTATCAGCTACAACGCTGTGGACCCCACACGCGGGGGTCCGTGACACATAACACCACTGTTCCAAATAGTATGATGGTAATCACAGATTCCAAATAACCTACGTGGTCAGGTTTGTTTATTAAAACAATTTTGGAAAGAGGAAGGCAGGAAAAAAGGAAAAGACTAAACAGCAATTAATGACACTCTAGAAAATATGTATTTTCTCTACAAAACCGTTTCCCACAACTCAGAATTTCTCAAACTTACAGATGAGAAAATGTCTTCTACTCTTTTGTTTTTTTTTTTTGAGAGAGAAAGAGAGATCAATTTGTCGACCCATGTATTTATCCATTCACTGGTTGATTCTGGTATTTGCCCTGACCAGGGATCAAACCCACAACCTTGGTGTGTTGAGATGATGCCCTAACCAAATGAGCTACCTGGCCAGGGCCTAAATCTCCTTAATTCTCTTCCATCTCTTCACTCCAACACATCACTCATTCACGACTCTCTCAGCACAAACCTCAATTTAAACAAAAAAACTATGAAGACAGTTACTGTGAGATTAAAAGGGGTGAGGTGATTAATAGCTAGAAAGATAAGGATGCTTATGTTCAGAAGACTGGAAGTCCCAGCGGGGAAAGAAGATGACACTGTGGAGCGGAAGAAAAGGCCTGGTGGCTGGAGTAAGGAAACAGCCGAACTCCCCTCCCGCGGAGTCCCCTTCCCCAAGTTTCAGCTTTCTCAGCTGTAAGGAGAGGGTAAAACGCCCACCTGAGGAGCTATTATGAGAAACAAATGTACTTAGCATTAAAATATCAATAAATATGAATAAATTAAGTGTTAAAATTGAGAAAAGTAAATAAAATGAATGCTCTGTACTATTGAAAAGGAACAATGGAAAGTAACAATCAGTGTAGCAATGTATACGAAAGTGCCCCGCACAGATAGAGGCTTTACAAGGTTTTTTTAAGGAAAGAACGGTTTGCAGTTATAAAGCAACGCTAGGAAGTTTGGATCTGGTTCTGAAGACATACCCAAACAAAAAACAAAAAAAAATCTTAATTCCAAGATTAAAAAATTGTTTCTTACATAAATAGGAGCAGATGTGTTGGAGTGTAATACAATTCTAGAATGACCTCTGTTCTCTCTTTCCGATTCAATTTAGCAAACCTTTCAGAACAAGTGGTCTGTGCTCAAAATGCCAGGAATACAATGAAGAGAAAGAAATGGTCCCCTACCTCAAGGAATTCTCTATCTCAAATGGATGATGAAGCTGGTACACAAAGAGCTGCAATGTAGAGCAACCCCTTAATCTCCCACTTGTGCATCTGGGGATCGCACAATCATTGCATAAGAAACAGAAGGTGTAGGTTCCCATCTCCATCCCACGAGGGGGAACTGTGACTTGCAAACCCTTATTCTACCCAGAGCGGGTGGGGATTGGGAACACATTCTATTCCTGGCGTTTGGAAATGGAACCTGACTCAGCTTAGCAGATGAATAGAAAAAGGGGTCAAATCTCAGCTGAGTAGTTAAAACTATATAAATAGAGAAAAAAGTAAACTAGAAGCAGAGGGAAGCTCAAAATTCCCTCAGATCCAGAGGAGGGGCACTTCTGGGCCCACACGGAAGGAAGGCCCTCCTCTCTCAGGCCTGCTCTGCTTTGCTCTGTCTACACGTGATGTGTCATACTTCGCTGTGAGCGACAGGCTGGGGGAAGGCCTTTGAAAACCACTGACCAGTGGCCTCACATGAGTCTACAGAACAGACTGAACTGTGTGCTGTCAGAAATGTATTTAAATGAAAAGGGTTATGTGTGTTGTATCATGAATGTCAGAGGCCTCCCTGTCTTTGGGGGACAAATGAGCTCAGGGTGTTGAACAACGAGCTGTCACTGAATGCTGGAACAGGACCAGGGTCCCCGTTTCGAAGTGTCTTCCTGTTACTTCTGGGAGTCCTCAAGAAGGAGCACTTCCGTGGTTAAGAAAAAGCCTGCTTGTGATCTGCTCTGCCTGCCTCAGTGATGTCTGATACCCCAAAGCCAATGTCTGGGGTGCTGCTTATTGGTGCTCCCCAAATTGCAAAACCCCAGAGGTGCTTAAATCCCAAGGCTCACAAAAGCCCTCTGGAAAAAAGCCCCTTCCGATTCTGCTGGCCACTTCTCTTTACAGTGTTACGGAAAAGACGACTCAGACGGCCTCGGAGTTTGCCAAGTGGGGTTTATTCACGCGTGGGCACCCAGAGGAGATAAAAAATCCAAATTCTGGGCAATGAGCTCAAGCTGGAGTTTCCTTTATATGCTTGTTACAAGGCAAAAAGGGAGGGGAGAACAGCTGCTAAAAGCAAGCATACAGAAGCAGAAGCGAAGGTCAGTGTTTTGGCCTTGAGACAACTGCTTATTGGGGAAAGGCTGCTGTCTGGGAACAGCTGCTGGTCAGCTCCTACCTAACAATGGCTACTGTCCAGCTGTGTCCCGTCACAACAGAAGTGGCCGTACCCTGTTTGTAAGTCCAGGCTGAGTACCAGGCTGAGTACCAGGCTGAGTGAGCCCTCCTCCACGTCCCCATCTTTCCTGCCTCCAGCCCCGGGCACTGGTGTGTGAATGGGGGCAACTGGGTCACTGGTTCCGTGAGCAAGCTCAGGGACTGTGCTGAACCCGTGCAAAATATAAAACTCACTGAAGAAAATCCAAGCCAGTGATTTAAACCACAGAGTATTTACTATTGCCAGCAAGTCTGGAGCAGAGTCCAGGGTTGGCTCAATAACTCAACAACATTTTCCTTTCTTGTCCATTCAGCCATCTTTTTCACGTTGGCCGTCACCCTCCAGTTTATTGCCTCCGCCTTAAGATGACCACAGTTCCAAACACCACCTTCTCCTTCTACCACCTGCACAGGCAAGCGTGAAGGCGGCCCAATAAAAGAGTTCTCAATGGCTGTCTGTGTCTCTTTTTTGAGGAAAGACTGTTTCCCCAAGAAGACTTACCCATACATCTTCCTGCCCAAAGCCATGTCCCATGGCCACTACTAGCTGAAAGAGAGGCCAGAAATGATCTGGTATTTTATCCTCCATCCTGGTCGCAAGGTAAAGGAGAAGAATAGTTTGTGGGTCCTCGAGAGGAAAAGAACCAACAGGAAACAGATGATAGATGATAGATGAAAGATGATAGATGATAAAGATAGATGTAGAGGCAGACGTAGATATATAGATATAGATAGATTCACTGCAAGAAATTGGCTTACATGGTTGTAGGGACTGGAAAATCCAAAATCTCTGCAGGCTTGAAATTCAGGTAAGAAGAGTTGCCGTTGCAGCCTTAAGCCCAAAATCCACAGGGCAGCAAGTTGAAAACTTGGGCAGGACTATGTTCCAGTCTTGAAGCAGAATCCTTTCTTCTCCAGGAAACCTTAATTTTTGCTTTCACAACCTTCAGCCTCTCGGATGAGGCCCACGCACACTGTGGAGAGCCGTCTGCTGTG